GCTGTATCCCTCAGCCGTCCAGATCTCAATGCGAATGAGGGCCCAGATTGGCCTGAAACCAAATTCCCTCCGCCCTGGATGCTGTCTGGGTACCTGCGCACAACAAGTGAGTGTATCCAACCAAGGACCTGGGTGCGGTACCTTTGACTCTACAGTTGACTTTGACTCTTGAATTTCCTGTGTGCAGCGTTCGGTCACACAGCCACACTCGACAGACTCAGGCCTGGGCGTGCCTTGGTCACACAGCCCAGCGCAGATCAACTCAGATCTGCGTTTCCTGGGGCTGAGTTCTGAGCCCCAGGCTACTTCTGAACAGGGTTATTACAGTCGGGGACTCAGACTGAGTCACTCGCTCGAAGGGACCTCGCTCTTAAGGGGGGGTAGTGTGATGACCCGAACAAACACGGACTGAGACACATAGTTGATTTCTGAGTTTTGCTCAGGGACTGAATGCCGTGCTGAGTTTCCCGCTTGCTACTATGTTCTGCATGACTGTTTGTGTGTGCACGCTTGTTGGACTGCATGTCCGTCTGAGTGCTGGTTGGCTTGAGTGTGTGTGTGACCCACAAGGGCACTTGTTCGTTCGTTGGGCCCTCAGGGCCGGTACTTACCTGTGGCCGTGACATTGAGGATTGCAGCGGGGGAAAAACACTCAAGTAGCAGGTAGGCCGGTACCGCACCCTGAAGAGGTAGATGTGTGGGTACTGGAGGCCGAGCAGAAGAAGACAAAAGTGGCATTTTGAGAGGCCCAGTAGTTGTAGGCTAGGCGGGTACCAGTCCAACCAGTCTGAGTCTAGGGCCTGTACGGGCAATATCAGAGTCTGCAATGATGTTTCCCTCTGAAAGGGAGGAGGTACCGGTTGCTGGGAAGGCCGAGCGGCCTGGAAGTCACCGCCCAAGAGGCGAGCAGGCCGCTATATCTCCAGGCCGGGCGAAGAGCCCAGCCTCATTGTCGGTATGCAAGTTTGGTGACACAGTGGTTAGAGCGCTGGTTGGAGCAAGGACATGGAGGAGGAAGAAGAGCAGGAGGAAGGGGGAGCGCCAGAGGTACTTACCTGGCTATGGTGGCAGCCATCTTCATCACCTTGGTGGGCGCTGCAGCAGGAAGACCCCAGCTGGGGTAGAGCTACCCCAAGAAGCTTTGAGGCAGAGTCAGGCATGGCGGCCTGAGCTGGAGCACCCATAGCTGCTTTGGGTTGTCCTTTGGACATCAGGGCAAGGCCCAGTAGTCCGCCATAGCCTCGGCCTATGAGAGTGAAGAGTGAGGGAGGCGGCCATGGCTATGGTGGACCTCAAGTGATACCTGCAGTAGAAGAGGAACTCGGACATTGATTCTGGATCAGCTATTCAACATTGTACTATTATTTCTTGTGTGAGTAAGAGAGGAGTAAAGGAGGAGGAGAGTGGTTGGCGAAGAAGAAGAGCATTATCATTTGTCATTGCTGGTGTACACCATCTTCTTCTTCTTCTTCTTACCATCTCTCTCCTCTCAAGTTCATTCATTTCTTTCTGCAAGTGGACGGCATTATACCATCTGATGAATGTGTATCTCGAAATTGGCCAGGATCATAACATAATGTTTAAACCTTGCATGAAGATGTTCTTTTGGTGGCTAGTAATTCTTTATGTCTTTGTCATAAACTGTGATGAGAGTACCAGGTCCAGCAATGTTTGTTTGTTTGTTTTTGTTTTTGTTTTTTTTTTTTTTTTTTTTTTTTTTTTTTTTTTTTTTTTTTTTTTTTTTTTTTTTTTTTTTTTTTTTTTTTTATTTGCTTTTTTTTTTTCCTCCTTTTGTTCTTTTAGTAGAAGCTGTCCGGTGATAAAACATTGATACATCAGTTATGAATTGTAATGACGTTCATGACTCCCCCTTCCCCCCCTTCCCCTTCCCGGTTCTGTGACATTTCTGTCCTGTTCGCTTCTTTCAGAGGTTTGCTCGGAACAGCAGTCTTTTTGCTAACACATTTTTCAAGGCCATCCTTTACCATCCTGATGAAAGCCAACTGTTAACAACTGGCACAGATCGCAAGGTAAAAATTACTTCCCAGCTGGTCATGCTTTACCGTGATAAGAATTACTTGCTAGTAGTTGCTACGGTCCCCATGCCATGCCTTACCATTGTAAAACTTACTTCCCACTATTCCCAGGGCATGCTTTACCATGGTAAAAAATTAAAAATTACCTCCTACCATTATAAAACTTACTTTCCAGTGTTCTGAGGCCGTGCTTTACCATTGTAAAACTTATTTCTCACGGTTCCCAGCTAGAAATCCATGGCGACATATTGATCACAGAAATTCTGATTCTGAAATGCTTTTGGGGACTCAAATAGCACACACAGAAAGCCATGGAGGCGAATACACGTGAAACAGGCACTTAAAATTATATCATGAAGAGCAAAGGCTCAGTGCCATGCTGGCGGTTGTCCTTATGATCATTTCAACCGCCCGCCAGAGATGGTCTCATCAGGGGACGTGAAACGCGTGTCATGGCCTAGTACTAGAGTCCTATATATACCTGATCATCACACCTTTACGAGAAGCCATCCTTCCAAAACCTCCAATTTGAAACTTCACACCGCTCACCAGCGGGAGCGGGAAGAGGTAGGAGGCATTGGGTAGGACAGAACAAGGGCTTACAAGCATCAGTCATATGGCAATAAAAGGGAGGGAAGAGTACGGGAAGAGAGAAATCCATGATCGAAGATGCCCCGAAACCTGTCATCATCTGTCAGAAATGGAAAGTAGTTGTAGGAGTCCAATGAACAGGGAGCAGTAGAGCGCATAAGATGGAGGGCGAGGGCGAGAAGGTGAAGCAGGAGTAGGGAGAGAAGCAAAGAATGGAAACGGTTGAGAATTGGAACAGAAGATGGAAGGGAGAGGCAAGATGGAAGGCTGGAAGCGAGAGGACAGGAAAGGAAAAAGGAAAAAAGAAAAAAGAAAAATGGAAAAATGCAAAATAGAAAAATGGAAAATGGAAGTTTTTTTTTTTTTTTTTCGAAGAATTGCTACGATCCATTAGTGGGAAGCGGCAGGTGCTGGGAACCGGGCCCAGCGTCCCTTTTGAATTATACATCTTTGAACCATGCAATGATCAGGACATAACCACTGTGCCAGAAACCCGGTCCAGCGTCCTATATTAAACTTTCCTCCTTTTCCTGCCTTATGGCCTGGTCGGGTATCGGAAGGAGAGCTGCTGGGGGCCAGCGGGGTCTCCTTCCATCCCCTTGCCCTGGCCCTTGCCCTCTGCTATCCTAATGCTGTACCTATGCGAAAACATGTTGAAACAGTTAAAACAGTTAAAAAACAGTTACAAAGACACAAGCTTCTGAAAGGCGGTTATTGGGGAAAGGAAACACAAGCTTCGCGTACTGAGACTGGGCTCAGCGTGTCTTTGAGATAGTTAGGAGACAGTTTGGATACAGTTTGGAGACAGTTTTTTTAACTGTTAGGGGGCACTTCCACAAGTCATAAAGGATAAGGGGGGGGGGGAAGGGTCCGGGAAATGGGGTTATCCCCTGACCAATACGCCTGCCATCCATCCCCCCCTTTTCCTCCCAACCGTTCCTCGCAGAAACGTGTGATTATTTTAGCAATGTCTTTCCTGGTGTGCACAAAGCCCATTCGCTGTCTGGCCGCCTGCTACTTGTTAGTGATCTCTGCTTGTACCAGTTGCCTGACCACCTCAGTTACCTCCCCCTCCTCCACCCGTTCCCCCTCGATTTCCAGAAGGCATCTTTTCCAACATATCACCCAGAGGACAGCTCGTTTGCCCACCCGGAAGAGGTTTCTCGTCAGTGGGTCGTCCGGGCACTGTGGCCAGTGGCCTGTTAGTAGCAGCCTCCAGTCCCATGGCCAGCCCGTGTCGGGGAACGTCTGCCGCCATATCCTATCTGACCATCGCCACAATAATACCGACGAAGGGCACCGCAGAAAAAGGTGCTCTATTGTCTCAATCCTCTTTGACGAAGGGTAGCTCCGTAAACATTGTGCGCCAGGGCAGTGCCCGTCAATGTTGCCCCAGCCTGGTGTGTTCGATCAGCCAGTCATTTGTCGGAAGGCATCGGTGGGCCACTTGCCACTGTAGTGACAAGATCTTGGCCGACCGCAGTTTGGATTCGCAAAACCACTGGATGGGACGCAGGGTGCTTCGATCCACATTGAGGTGACACTGCCATCTGTTGAAGATCGTGTCCCACAGCTCTCTTTTGGGTCTCAGCATTCGGTAGGCCGTTTTGACCTTCATGTCCGCAAGTCTCAGGGGTTGTTGTGCAGTCCTTGCTCTCCTTCCCCCTGTCCCCCTCAGATTCCACTGCCATTCCCCAAGGTCGATGGGCAGGTTCGCTATTGGTGTCATCGGCCGTAAGGCCCTCTGTTCCCCCCTGATACGAAAAACCTCCACCTTGCGGGCCCAGAAGGACTGCCTACTCCTTGTCAGGACATCCTCCCTCCCCAACATATCTCTCTCGACCAGCACCTCGTTGTCACCCACCATGTGCACCATTCCAACCTCACCCGGGTCGCTAGGGAGTCCCACCCAGTCTCCTTCCTTCAGTACCGGGCCCCTTTTTAAATTGGGGTACCATGCCAACGGGAAGCTTTCAATCAATTCCTCCAAACCTTCTTCCGTAAGATGGCAGTACTGCAGCCATTTCCTCATCCTATCTGCGCTCTTCCACTCCCCAGCCTCTGCATCCCACAGGTCCCCCACCCGTAGTGCCCCATGCTTGACCCACCCTTTCCATGGGGAGTCCGAGATGAGCTTGGCGTAGTCGTGGCTGTCTGTGATCCATCTGTTCCCGAACAGCGGCTGCCTGAAGATCTCCCACCGATCAGGGGAAGGCCTGTCCGAGATTGACAGTTTCCTGCATGTGTTAAGTTGGCACACCGCTCTGCGACTCCACCATCCCTGCGTAGTCTGGGGATTTTTCAATATTTGTTCTCAATCCAGGTCATGGGGTCTATCTCTGGGGAAGCCTCGGGGGCTAGAGCTGCGATCTGCAACAGCGCCAGCGGGCGCCAAGGAGAATTGTGGTTAAAAATCAGAGTCTTTACCCAGCGCAGGCTGAGCGCCTGAACCTGCGTGGCTGGGTCAATGATGCCCATCCTTCCTTTAGTTTTGGGCTGGATTACAGAGTTCCATGCCACCCTGCTAATCGCATGGGGGGACTCGTTGTTCCCCCTCCAAAGGAAGGTTGTGATTTGTCTCTTCAAGGCACGAGATCTTGTCTTGCTCAAGGGCCACAGGATTGACTTGTACCACAAGGAAGTCAAGACCACATTGTTGATGAGCAGCGCTCGTCCAAAAATCGAAGTGTGTTTCCCATTTGTTACGGACCAGCCAGGGCTCTACGGGCCACAAGCCCGCCTGCAACTTTTCTTTCATTTTTTTTCTTTTTCCGTTTGTTTTGCTGATATTGCTGCATCCTCGTTTTTGGCCTGGCGCCCTTTCTCCAAACCCTCCTTTGGCACCATCGGATTTAGGACCTCTGGCACCACCCCGCATTCTGGCGCCACTCCCAAAATCCCCATTTTTCAGTTTCGCCCCCGGGGCCTTGCAGACCCGGTTCCCGTACGGCACGACCGACTGATATATACATCGGCCGCCCGTACCATCGGGCAACCAGTTTTCAGCTACTGTGCTTGTGCTCTGTATGACTTGCTCCGACTTGGCATTCGGAATTGAAGACTTCGACGTTGTGACTTCGCCACTTTGTCTGCGTCCGTCGAGTCCGTTAGTGGCGTCGAGTGAGTGAATGTGTGTGTGCTCTCACTCTCTCTCTCTCTCCTCTCCCTCCCCTCTCTCTCTCTCTCTCTCTTTCTCTCTCTCTCTCTCTCTCTCTCTCTCTCTCTCTCTCTCTCTCTCTCTCTCTCTCTCTGTGTGTCTCCAACATGTTTGTTTGTTTGTTTGTTTTTTAATTTGCTCCATCTATTGGTGGGGAGCTTCACATGCTGGAAATCGGGTCCAGTGTCCCTCTAATGAACAATTGAATACATAGATATCCAGAAACCTGAGATTGAAAACACTAACCATTTTGGCTACCTCCATAGGGAGTACTCTCTTCCACTCTTATGAATCAGGGGAAAGACACTGCCTGTTCACCCTTTTCTCAGGGCGCCAGATATACCTATTAGCACTAGCTGTGTTATTCCTGAAAATTGAGATCTTGCTAAAAATTTCCTCTATCTTCCATACCATGAGCTAGGAACAAGAGCTGATGCTGGGGGGGGAAAAGGATCTGGGAAATCTGATAGAGGGCGCATAGGCACGGAAGCCTCAATAGTAGTCAGTCGCCGAATTCCACTTTATAGTCTCTTTTAATCTCAACATCATCATCATCCATTGCCCCATTCCATATGACTTTTCCCAATCTCCCTCCCTGGTTTCCGCCCAGCCAGTTGCGACTGAATTTTCAAAAATGTGATTGGATTTCTGATTTATTGGATAAAAATTGAACTTCCTCCTTTATTTGAGCCCATTTTTTTAGGATGTCTATTTCGATTTGTTGCTTAATAGTCTCCATGAAGTCTGGCCCATCTAGTCTAGCCCCTTCCCATTCATAAGTGCACCTCCTCATCCAGATGGCCCACATTACAGCTCTTCACCCTATACGAAAAATATTATCTATAAATTCTTCCTGATTTTCCATTGATTCTAGCTTGGGGTCCATGTCTCTAGGAGGATAACTTTCCACCCCCATGGTCATGGAACCTGTGGGACTGGTTGTGACCAGATGCAGTCCCACCACCTCCATAGCCAGGTGGAGCCCGGGCATTGCATAAAGATGTGCTCTATGGTTTCACGAGTTATTCTACTCGGGAAGGCTGTCCTGCAAAACTTGCACCATCTTGATGCTATTCCTTTTTGCTCTAAGGAGGATCTGTCAATTAGCGAGTCGTTTGTTGGGAGACACCTGTGCTCAATTTGCCATTGGAGGGAAGCAATTTTGGCTGGTTTGTCCTTGATCGTTTTGAACCACCTAACTGACCTCAATTCATCCTTGCTTATATTTAGGTGTTTTATCTATCTG